CAGTTAAGCTTCAGACTTCATCTCAGGTCATGATCTCATGGGTTGTGGGTTCCAGCCCTGCGTCAGGCTCTGTGCTGACAGCTCAGAGCCTGGAGCCTGCTTCCGATTCTGTGCCTCCCTCTCTCTCTGCCCCTCCCCCACTCGCACTCTGTCTCTCAAAAATAAATAAACATTAAAAAATAAAAAAAAAAATTTTAAATAAGAGGTCCATTGTCTACCCGCATCGTAAGAAAGAGTGTCGTAGAACTCTCAGGTGCCTTCGAGCTTTAGGATTCTATGGTATAATGCCAATACCATTGTACAAGCAAGGGGAAGAGTCGATTTTTAAGGGGCAGGACTGATGTGCAGAAAACATTTTTCATGAAGATTTTTACTCTGTCAACAAGGACTGCAAAGGAAGGGGGATGGGGAAAAGAAGCAAAGGACAAGACACCAGCTGGTGAAGGCTACCAGAGCCCCAGCATCAGTGAAGAAAATGTTCTTCATGCTTCCCTGAACAAAACCGTCAGGACAAATGATGTGACATCGTACTTGAATGTATGAAAACGTGGGGAACCATGGCCATGTATGATGGTCCTGGAAGTTAGTGCCTCACTGGGGTGAAGAAAACAGTCATGGAGAACACAGAGGTGATGCCAGAGACACGAAAGAGGGAGAATTAATGGAATTTGGTGACTTATTGCACAAAGTGGGAGAGAAAAGCACGTGTAAATATACTCTTTCTGATTTACTGGATACGGTGGGGCAAGGAAGAAAAAGCCTGTCGTCAAGTATCGGAAAATCATTGCTACTGAGTAGTTAAGGAGAGGAGAGTCCACTGGGAGACATGGGAGTGCTGTTAAGCGCCCGTGTTTAGTTCACGATGATTAACGGATGACCTTCCCGGGACTGAAAAGGGCAAGCTCTACTTCCTTCAGTTTATCCAGCCCGTCCGGCAGTGCCCAGATGTTATTCGTGCTGTGCACATGCCCTGTGTGTGCCACTGTGGAACAGTAAGGTGTTCAAGAGACCAGGCTGCGGAGACAGACCCCCCTGAAGTCAGCGTGGGCTCCACGGCTCACTGGCTGTGTGGTTGTGTAACTTCGGTGCCTCAGTTCCCTCGTTTGTAAGATGGGCACTGTAAGTCTTCTTACCCATAAAGGTTAGAGAATTAACTAAAATAATATAGGCAATGTGTTTACACCCATGCTTGGTACATAGCAGCTGTTCGACAAAGACTTGCTTTTATTTTACTGCAACTACAACAGCTACTACTGTTACTACCACTGTCTTAAACGAATCGACAGCAAATTCTGTCTAAGGGATTAAGGACTTAAGCAAGGCAAAATGCAGTCCAAAATGTTGGGGTCTTTCCAAGGGGGCACTGCCCAGAATTCCTGACATGTCACGATCTAAAGTAATTATACGCTGAAAGACTTGAGAGAATTCCTGAAACGCAGCCCAGGGTCCCAAGGCATTCTGAGATTCCCCACAAATTCTCCATCATTATCCTATCCCCTGGGACCCTCTTCACTGATATCTTCCCCAGTTGCAGGCTAGCCCTATAGTTCAATGGTTTCGCATGTTCATTAACACCCCAGGAAAGGATTTCTCTCATTTACTGGGATATACAATTTGGTGTGTTTATAAATAGCTTTTCCTCATTCCTCAAATCATCTCCCTAGCCTATTATGAATTAAGACAGGCATCCCTGAAAAGAAACAATCATTCTAAAGAGAATGAGGAAGTGTCCCACAAAAGTAAAGAGCACTGCATTAAAGTTCAGGCTCTACTGTTGATTTAGTGTGTATGTCTTAAGCTCTCTGACATTGTTTCCTTCCTTACAAAATAGGAATTACATCCCTTGGTCAACCTCGTAACCCTGGTGTGCAGGTCAAGTGAAAAAATAAAACATAAAAGCACTGTATATATGCCAAATACTTTATAAGATATTCGTTGATATCACGCTATTGGCCTTCATTTTGCTCGAAGGATAAAAGAGACTTCCAAGATTTTCTAAGTTCAAAGAGTATCACTGATGGCATATAATTTTCTTCAGTTTAATCAGTTTTATCATCAGTTCTACTATTTCTCATTCGGAGGATTAAACAAGATCATGTTTTAAATGGAAATACTAAATTCAGCCTGAGGTAATAACAATAATATGCACTGAATCCTTCCCATGTGCCAGGTATTATGCATGGAACTTTATCTGCATAATCTTATTCCGTTTCTTAAAACAGCACTCAGGTGAAAAACCGAGGTTGTCCCCATTTTGCTCACGAGACAATTAAAATTCAAAGAACTTAAATAACTCATACAAGTCCTCGCAGTCAATGTCAAAGCTGGGATTTGAACTCAGGTCTGCACCTCTTAGCTGTGTGGCCAGGACATACACTCTACTAGCTGGATAACTCATTCTCTCCTAAATACCAGATTCATGGGGCTAACAACGCCCATAGGAACCTACAGTAAGAGACAGCAATATGACAGCACTCATGAATGAGGCTATGAGGAAATAATTTCACAGTTTCATTGAAATTACAGATAACCTATAGTGTATCTATTTAGAACACCTGGGGCCAGCCACACCTGCAAAGGAAAATGAAAGGCCAGAAGAGCATTTCCCTGAAGAATTCACTGAAAGATGTAATTGGGACAGCCTAGGACATGTTAGCCCAAGGGGGACACGTGAACCAGATTTATAAAGCAGAACGTGCACTGGAAAGTAGAAATAAATGAAGGACCACACTGCCTTCCTTACTCTCGAATGCCTCCAGTAGATTCAGACCTTGTCACTCAAAGAGGCAGTTTAGGACAGTGGCTGAAATACCAAATATGGAGTCAGAAGGACAGAGGTCCAAAGTCTCGTCCTCTCACTCACTAGTTATTGACCAGGGAAGTTGCATAACCCTTCTCTGATAATAAGTTTCCCCTTGGGAATAATAATGATAAAGTCATGAAAATAACTCCCTCACAAGATGGTATAGAAGGAAATGAAATTCACATTTAAATCTCTAAGCACATACGTGATCAGTAAAGAAGCAGTTATAACTTGATGATGATGATGGTAATAACTGATATGGAAGGTTTGCTGCCTGAATGATATTCAGAACCTAGGATCCCAGAGGTTTGAGTCAATGGCAAAAAAAAAAAAAAAAAAAAGAAACAAGGAGTGCCTTCTGGGACTGGAGTAAACTAACAGAAAGCCACTGGTCATTTGGGTGTTCCATTCTTCCCTCAAAACTCCCAGCCCAGCCAGGAGTCCTGGACAGTCAAAGCAACTCCAAGGTGATATGAGGAGTGGAGGGCCCAGCTGAGCTCCAATTCCACTTGACAGATATCCTGAGGATTCGGGTCAAGGTTTGGAAAATCCTTAAACCGCACCGATAAACGCAGTGTAAACCAAATGGTTTACTTCCGGAAAGCCTTCAAGATCTTTGCCCTCAGGGAACTGAAAGTCCCCCGAGCAAATTTCATGGAGCCACATCCTAAATCAACACCTAAAGGACCTCTTGAACTCCACACTTCGGCTCTCCAGGTCTGCATCCTCCCGACAGTATTTCTAGCTAGATTTCTGTATCTATTATTTTTACATTTCTGCCCTTGTTAAAATCTCTGCTGCTTGCTTTTCAAGTGGGTTGATGTTGTTTGACTTTAAAATAAAAGACCAGCCTGAAAGAAGGGTTAACTTATCAAAGAAAACTAAGAAATCTTAGATGAGTAGAAATCTGATCTAAAGTTCCAAAAGGGGAATGCCTGGGTGGCTTAGTCAGTTAAGCATCTGACTCTAGATTTTGGCTTAGGTCATGATCGCAGAGTTCTTGAGTTCGAGCCCCACAAGGGGCTCTGTGCTGTCAGTGCAGAGCCTGCTTGGGATATTCTCTCTTCCTCTCTCTCTCTCTCCTTCCCCCAACTTGTGCTCTCCCCCCACTCTCTCTAAATAAATAAATAAACTTTAAAAAATAGTGGCATCTGGGTGGCTCAGTCAGTTAAGCATCTGACTTCAGCTTAGGTCATGATCTTACAGTTTGTGAGTTCGAGCCCCACTTTAGGCTCTGTGCTGACAGCTCAGAGCCTGAAGCCTGCTTCGGATTCTGTGTTTGCCTCTCTCTCACTCTCACTCTGTCTCTCCCTCTCTCAAAAATAAATAAACACTAAATTAAAAAAAATTTTTTTAAATAAAGATCTGAAAGGAAAAATATCTTAGTATCTGAAATAATTTGTACTCAATACAGGCGATACAACATTAGCTAAACTGTTAAGTTAAAGCAACATTAGATCTTTATTTATTTAAAATATTTCTGTATTATTATTGAAATAGTCCCCCCCACCACCAGGGTAAAAAAAATTTACTAACATAGTAAAGTATTATTTTTAAAAATCTAAACGAAGGAACTGGGTGCTATATGTAAGCAATGAACCATGGGAATCTACCCCCAAAACTAAGAGCACACTTTACATACTGTATGTTAGTCAATTTGATGATAAATTATATTTAAAATAATAATAACAATAAAAAATCTAAGCAAAGGAACCAGTTAAAAATCTCAGTTGGCTAAAGGCCAAAGAATGCTTCAGACCCAAAAAACAATGCAATTAGACATTTCAAAATAGACATCACTCTGTTTCACAATGTAAATGTTTGTAAAAGTAAAATTCCATATTATCATTCTATAATTAAGATTTCTATAAATTAGCTGTGATAACTTTATGCAATTCAGTGAACAAAGGAATTAGGGCCAACATATAGTACTCAGGGTATCATAGACTCATGCTAACTACGAACTTATGAATACATGTAATTTGTTGCTCACAGGCAGTAAAAAAGGCCCCTATAAAAATATAGAAGATACCATAATAGCAATACAATTATAGAAATGGTGACAATGACTTCTCATTAATCATAATGTGCATATACATTATGTACATTTGTGCTATGCTAACATCCCTACAGGGAGCACCTGAGAAATTCTCTATGAAAGCATCACAGAGATTCCTTGAAGAATCCTTTTACTTACCATCCTTTAATTTTTTTGGAAAAGGCATGCTTCCTGTATAAGAGAACTTTTATGGGAACCCAAATCAGCAGAGTCACTGAAGCCACATAGGCAATCGAACAGGAAACAATCAGCCAATAATGTGTTTTCTCAGGGCTCCCCGTCGTTGTTTGATAGGTGGTGGCAAACTGTTCCACAATCACAAGCGTGGGAATGGAGAAAGCAGCAAACTCGAAAAGCTCAAAAACCAGGAGCTTGATCAGTTTTCCAGAAACCATCCTGAGGAAGGGCAAGCTGCTGAAGATCAAACACTCCCCTTTTGATGGCCAGCAGCATATGGACACAGATACTCAACTACGATTAAGTTCCTTGTACCGAAATCACCAACCGGTGACTTTTTATTCTTTTATTGACCCTCATATGGTTCAATGATCTTCCAGCTTAACAAGCGAGGTCTCTTAAAGAAACAGAACAGTTGTGGAAATGACCACTTAATGTGTTTGCACAGCCATTATTCAGGGTCAAATGAACTTCTGAATATGTTTTCGAGGCACTGGTAAAAAAGCAAGTCTTTGTAGCTTTGATTGCTAATTTGAGCACAGAGAAAAATTTATGCAGTATTTAAACACCTGTTAAGTAGAACCACCGGAATCACCTAATTTTAGACTTAAAGGAGAAGAAGAGCTGTAATCCAATCCCCTATTTTTATATCTAAGCAAAGCCAGGCAAAAAGAGATACCCCAAACCCGTGTCTTCATCGTAGAAGACTACCCCTCGCTTTCCTTCAAAGTGCTTTGAGAAGGGAGTTTGGATTCACATTGCCAACCTCCTAACCACACTTCTTCCTGGTACTTGAACTATTGATTCTTGCATATAAATTGCCACTGTGGCACAGGTTAACATTCTTCTTTTGCTGGTCAGGAAACGAACACGGTGATGTTAGAAACCTGTTATCAGGATTAACATATTAACAGCAGCCTATATCGAGTCCAAAAGCATATCAAATATTTAAAAGGCAACAATCATCTCCATGAATATCCTTCCTTCCAAAACTTTTGAGCTCCTATGACGAGCACTTTGCTTTTGTTAGGTTCTGGGGTGTGAAGGTAGGTGAAGGACAGTAGGTTTCTGCCCTAAAAATGCTCACAGCCCAGTGGAGAAAAGAAACCCGTGAACAACCAAAATAACTGAGGTCAGAAGTATAACGTAAATGCTATGGTAACTTAACGCAGAGAACTTCCTCTTCGGGCTGTGTGAAGGGGAGGGAAAGAGAAGGACGAGGAGGCAGGTTTTGGGGGCATCAGTGACATTCCAGATACACACACACACACACACACACACACACACACACAAAAGACAGGAGGCCATAGTGGTTCTGAGAATCTGGTGTCATGTGGCAGGAAGTAGGGACAGGTGATGTTAGGATTGGCTTTGGGTCGGAATGTAAACATTCCATGAAGGGTTTTGGTGTGGGGTGGTGTGGGGTGGTGTGTGTGTGTGTGTGTGTGTGTGTGTGTGTGTGTGGCAGGCAGTGAAAAAGCAACGTCGTCCGGACAGAGGAAGCACTTACTCCATCATTTGGAAAAGGAAGTGAGTGCTGGCGTGGAGGAAAGGGCAGGAGCAGCGCCCACCTGGAGGAGGGAAGGCAGTGGGGAGCCACAGAGCACCCGGAGGGAGAGCCTTGGCTACAACCAGTGAAGGAAGAGGGGGGAGGAGAGCACCCAACCAACAGACCCTGAGTCTGATTCCTTCCACATGCTTGCCTCTTTAGACGGCTTGCCCTGTGCCTGCTGGCAGACTGACACAAACCAGTATTTTTCTGGGTCCCTCGGGCCCTCTGCAGAAGGGGCCATGCGTCGCCTGGCTGCCCAGTGAACCCAGGACGCTGGCGGCAGCTCTGAGGGTTAACGCCTCCTGCCCTCCCGCTGCAGAATTAGGCAGCCGCATCCTCCAGCTATTTTATCTGGACTTGAACAAAATTTCTATTGAAGAGAGACGAGACACAAATTATATTCTAACCTCCTGGCCCTCTGTCTCGAGTCATCAGTGCTATCCTGTAGGGCAATTTCTTCCACAGACTTTGTACATTAATAGGAATTGTGACCTGAGCATCTGAAGACAGTTGTTGAATAAAACTGCCTGGCTCCATGCAAAAGGACTCTTGCCTGTGTCTATAATTCCATTTGAAATGCTCCATTTTTATGCCCACGTAGGGGAATGATACGCGCTCTGTATGTCTCACCTAGAATTTTCCTCTGGTTCCTAATCTCTCTTCATCTTTACCTTCAAAGACAACGTTCGTGTGACGGGACCTGTTGCTGTCCAAGACATGAACTGCACTGATAACAGTACTTTGTCGGAACAGGAGGGAGGCCACGATTCCCACCCTCTACCGACAATAAGCCCACCCCCATGTAATGGAACAAGCACCTGTGTTAACACTGTTCGTGGAACACTTTCTACGAGCAGATCATGTAGAGACACAGTCCTTCCTGACTTACATTCTGACTGGGGAGATGTTACAAATGCACAGGTAAGGTCTGAGAAGGTGTGATCCTGGAAGGTCAGGATGCTTCTCCAGCCACAGCTGGATGAATAGGAACCCTGGGCTACAGAATGTCCCTCCATAACTGGGCCACTTGCTGCTGCTTGGAAATGTGAACTCAGACACATAGGGAGAATTTGGTCAGTGGAATGAAGGGAGGCCATGACTCTGAGTCAGGATTAAAACAACCCAGACCGTACATGCTTGTCACCCTGGCCTGTTGTGACACTCAGGACTCATTTGCTGAATGAACAAATGGAAGCCAAATGGTGAGAGAATAGAAGAGTGAGTACACAGAGGGTGAGAAGACAAGGAGATGCCAGCACATCAAAAAATGCCAGTCCCTCCGTTGTGGAACACTCCAGTTCACATGTATTCTTAAAAACAGGCTCTTGGTTCTTTGCAACTGAAAGAGCTTGAGTACAACACAAAGGAATAGATTTCAGAGTAGGGGCCAAGGGGCACCCGGGTGGCTCAGTCCATTAAGCGTCTGACTTGGGCTCAGGTCATGGTCTCACAGTTCGTGGGTTTGAGCCCCGTGTCTGGCTCTGCACTGACAGCTCGGAGCCTGGAGCCTGCTTTGGATTCTGTGTCTCCCTCTCTCTCTGACCCTCCCCTACTTGTGTTCTCTTTCAAAAATAAATAAATATTAAAAAAAAAAAGAGTGTAGGATCCAATATTACACAAAAACAATACGTAAAATTACTGGGTGATTCAGAAGAGAGGGTTGAAAAAAATCAAAGCGGAGTTGATCAGAGAGGTCTTCTCAGAGGAGGTGAGTTTTGGTCAAATTGATTTTTGTATTGACTCAAAGCAATATCCATATATTACTACAGCAAACTTCTCTGTATCATACAATGACATTTTCTTTGAAAAATAGTTCTGGGGATGCCTGGGTGGCTCAGTCCATTAAACGTCTGACTCTTGATTTCAGCTCAGGTCATGATCTCACGGTCCCAAGTTCAAGCCCCGCATCAGGCCCTGTGCTGGTGGTAGGGAGCCTGCTTGGGATTCTCTCTCTCTCCCTTTCTCTCTGCCCCTCCCCCACTTGTATACTGTCTTTCTTTCTCTCTTGCTCTCTCTCTCTCCCTCTCTCAAAATAAATAAATAAGCTTAAAAAAATAGTTCTAAGAATGTTCGTGATGCAGTGAGGGGTAGGAGAGTGAAGCAAGTTGCAGATGCTGTGTATGACGATGTGAATGGTGCAATCGCATTTTTGTTTTAAAATATTATAGTTGTGGGGCACCTGGGTGGCTCAGTCGTTTGAGTCTCCAGCTCTAGATTTCCACTCAGGTCATGGGATCGAGCCCTGAGTGGGGCTCCATGCTGGGTGTGGAGCCTGTCTGAGATTCTCTCCCTCTCCCCTTACCCCTCTCCCCTGATCATGCTCTTTCTCTCAAAAATAAATAAACAAATAAGTGAATAAACAAATAGGGGTGCCTGGGTGGCTCAGTCAGTTGGGCGCCCAACTTCAGCTTAGGTCATGATCTCATGGTTTGTGAGTTTGAGCCCTGGGTCAGGCTCTGTGCTGACAGCTCAGAGCCTAGAGCCCACTTTGGATTCTGTATCTCCCTCTCTCTATGCTCCTCCCCAGCTTGTACTCGGTCTCTCTCTCTCTCTCCCCAAAATAAATAAACATTTAAATTAAATAAATAAATAAATAAATAAATAAATAAATAAATAAATAAAATCACAGCTGTGGATTTAAGCATAAATTAAAAATCCAGAAATATACTCACCAAACTGTAAACAGAGCTCCTGTGGGGAATGGGTGAGGTAGGGTGGAGGGGTTTTTACTTTTGATTTATTAATATTTGCATAGCTGTAATATTTGACCAGCATAAAAGTTAGAAAATAAATTAAGATTAATAGAAATCAATTAAAGAAAGCAATTCTGGCTTAGTGAAATGTTTACACTGTATTTTTTAAATCTTTCCTCCACCAATTTGTTTTCCCTCACTTCTCAGCAAAAGCAAAATAAATAAATTCCACTTCCGCTTATCCCTTAAATGGCGGCACAAAAGAGCAGCAAAATAGCCAAGAGGCAAGCAGAAGACGAGAAGAGCCTTGGATAACTATTTGCCAGCTGGGTAGTCAGGGCTGACTTTTATCGCCTTCTCCTGATCTCACATGAGGACGGGAGGAGAGTAGCCTTCATCCTGCAGGCCCTGCTCTGAGACCCTTCCTTACTCTCCTTCTCCAAGCAGAAGGAAGCATTTCCTCCTTTGAGTCAAAACCCCTTTTGAATCCTTCTGAATTCCCCCCCTCTTGTACTGTAGCACTTCTCTCCCTATGTTGTAGGCACACTGGGTCCCCTATACAACGGGAAGCTCTCTGAAGGCAGAGAACACCTTCCTTCACCTATGTCTCATCGTTTCTCAGCACAGTGTGTATTACATAATAGGCCCTTGAAAAATATTTGTGGAGGGAATGGATGGAGATGAAGGCTAAGAGACGTGGTAGGCAGCAGGGGAATGTGCCAGGCTTGGAGAATGGCCAACTCATCTTTTATTCCAAGGGGATTCTTGTTCCCACACTGACCTTTCAGAAGGAGAAATTATGTATTACCCGTCCCAATACAGTCTCTGCTCACTCAGCCTACGGAGCTTCAATTTCCTTGTGTGATCCCAATTTTAGCCCCCAGGTTCCCTTCCTCTGTAGCCATAGCTCCTTAAGGTCTCTAGATAAGAGAGAAAACAAAGCCCCTGGGGACTGCAGAGCTTCTCCATCTCA